GCTTTAACATTTCTTGAGAGCTGGATACTAAGCTAAAGACACAAACATAATAATTCTTATGCAAACAAAGATTTTAGTTGAAAAGTTGCAGTCAGTGGAAGCTCGTTAAAGAATAGTAGCTGATTATTTACTTTATCGAAAAGTAACCAGTACAAATGCGATTGCCTTTTATTTGAACAGAAAGAACAAACAAACCAAAAACAAATTAGAAAAGAATGAAATGCAACGAATAACAACAACAACATACTTGTCATGTTAGTATTTGTGTGAATGAATAGAATAACAGATAAAAAGGTAAATATAAATTTTGAAAATTTGTTTACTTTTGCACCTCATTAACGGTGCATCCCATTGACGGCGTGAAACCGCATAGAGAACCACAACAGAGATGCGCCAGCCACATAAAACGCAATGACCTGATTGTGGCAGAGACGCGTCGCCACCCAATCGCCACAGCAATTATCACGTGCTGTCAAATAAAGGCGTGTGTGTATATGTATGTGCTTGAGTGTTGGAAAAGCGCATCTGGAACGCATCGTTGCACACCTTGCGGCTGTCAATTGCCCGACTTATTAGAAATGAAAATTGTTGGAGATTACTCATACTGTTGTTGGTCGGTCGCAGCGTAATGTCTGCAAAGCGGTCACCTGCTGAGGGAGTATGAATCGGGGAACCTGCCTCTGCCACCGCCGACGCATCACGCTGTACGATGCCGGGATTTAGTGTTAATGGAAAAGCTGTTGGCCCTGGGCACAGAGTTTGTTGCACTCACACGCCGTACACTGCACTGAAACCCCTCCACTGAGAATGGCCATGCAGCAGCATTTACTAATTACAAATGATTCTTCAATGTTTATTGCAATTAGTGGGTCTGTTGCAGCTGCATATGTGTGCATGAGTGTGTGTATATATACATAGGGCGCTCTTCGAATCAAGCAAATCATCACCGACATTAGTTATTGTTATTTTATTTTGTACTTTTTTCTCTTTTGTTCGATTTATTCAATGTAAACGCTAAATCTGTTGAAAAGTGCACTCAGACTGATTGCGATATCCAAGGACTCCTTTGATGTGCTCATTTCGGGGCTGTTTTTATGGACAACAACTTTCCTCTCCAAGTTCAGTTATATACTTCTTATTTTACATATATGTAAGAATTTGAGAATCGAATAGATATGACTAAAAGATCTCATCTGAAACGCTATCTCGGGGAGCACGTGGGCTCGAAAATCCGTATCGTTTCAAAAACGAACTTTCTCTTTCCAAAACTCCTTTTTATAAGCAGTTTTTCTTCCAAAACTAATTTTTTATTAAGATGAGGAACTCATTTTACTTCTTGTTTTTTATTAAAATACAAAAGTTTCCGCAAGTCAAGTCAAAATTATGTAATTTATACACGTGTTTTTATGTTTGGTTCTTGCCTGATTGGTGCAGCGACTTCTTTGTGTTTTTGTGTTTATAAAAATTTGTCGCTGGACTTACTGTTGCCAATCAATTAGATATAAACAATTCGAACATAGCTTCATATCTTTGCATACCACCTTTTCATTTCGTATAAAATTTATCGACGTCCAGTTATGAATTTTAATTGTGACCGAGATGCGCGCATGTATGTATATGAGAATGTACATATATGCTTTATTACTCTTTAATTTGATAAATTCAGCGTTTTACACCTTTTTCTATAATTTATTGAGTTTTAAAATGCAAAGCAAGTATATAAAAATTTCGAAAAAACTATTTGTATGCAAAGCACTACTGAAATCAATAAACGAACACTGTGTGAAATATGCAAAGGTACCGTTGAGCATAATGTAAAAAATAAATTAGGAAAATATAGGTTTTCTAAAACTGCTAAATATTTGCTTTTTATTTTAGTAACTTATTTTGTTTCCTAAAATTGATTAATATTTACCCGTCTTATATCAACAATGTGCAAGTCAATGCATGGCTTTAAACCAGTTTTTTTGAAACCACTGGACATACAGCTTTTGTTGGCATACGGTATTATCCAAGGTTTCCTTAATACGGTACATCGGCCTAACTCCATAAAATGAACATGCTTAAGTCATTCCATTGGATTCCTCGACTGTTCGACTGTTTTGGTGTGCATTTTGGATTGTATTCTTTGTGGGTCGGTCGGCTTAAGTATTGGTGAGATCTTTTATCACCATAGGCAATATTTGGAATTCATCGGGCCATAAAATATTTCACCATTTCGGAGAACCAATCGAAATCTTAATTTGCGAACAGTAGCCTTTGACCTAAATTTTTTTGTAATAATGGTAGTTTTTTGGACTATTAGCTTTTTATTTTTGTAGTAAACAGTCCTTAGCCGTATAAAAATCCGGGTCCGTTCAGAGTACTTAGACCAGAATGTTATGAGCTTTGAGTATAGTAGTTAGCGCTTAGGCATTTTATCATATTTATTTATCCGGTAGACGTCTATCAGTTTCAGGCTTCGATTAGTATGCTAAACATTTCGAATCATAACGGATTCACAACCAATTACATTTTCAACCTTTACACGTTTTCTCTTTTAATATAATTAATTTTTTTTATATTTAAGTTAGCGTTAATAAGACAAATAATGAAATACATCAAAAAAGTCAATACTTACTTTTTTCATTTTTTTCCCCAAATAAACGTTTAATATTTGCGTTTTGCCTGCTCCTTCCTGACAGTAATATTATTTTGACTACCTCGTTAAGCTCCCAATTAGGACAACAAATTAAATTGCTATAGCAACAGACAAGCTTTACATATATTATAGTATTTTTTATTGCACTCTATCCACATACAATTAATTAAAAATCGTACAAATTGGTAATTTCATTAATATTGTAGCATGGAAGAGAAATGTAAACAAAAATTCAATTATTATACTAATATTATATATTCAACTATACCACAAAGACTACCAAATAGTTTCCTAAAGACCTCTGTTGGAGACTAATTTATTTGTACTATTAAGAAAATAATCCGGGTGCATTCCTTTTAAAAACTACTCCCACTATTTTTTCAGGGGTGCTTGCGGCATATTTACTGCTAACAAGTAAATAGATAATTTTACTAAGAAGTAATCACTTGTAAATAAAGTTGTACGAATAAGTAGTATCTTTCCTAATTAGGCATTGCTGCATTGTTGTTGCGGAGTATCTTTAGTAATTAGTTTATAATCCTAATACTGCCTCAACGGCTAAGCATTAAAGTCAAGAAATTAATTTCATTTTGGCAGCAAATTCATTCCAGAACGAGCTTAGGTGCATAGGAACTGCATGTGTAAATAAAGCAGTCACCCAAAGTGGCAGCAATAACAAAAATATGGAACACCTAAAGCGATACATCGAACGAGACAATATTCAAATTTCGTGCCAATTCCGCCATTGGCAATTTATCAAGCTGTCATCTCATATCGAGTGGTGTGCGTTGAGCGCCAGTATGATCGCGCGATCGCAGCGCACACGACAGCACCTATTGGAGGCGCCAGACTGTGTGCAATTCAATGCACGCGTGTATGCGTATGGGGGAACGATGGTTTGTTATTGTTATTGTGGCGGCTGTGCCTTACCTGTGCCTTAATGCGGCGCGACGCGGTATCTACGCGTGTTTGCCAATAATCAATCGCTTGTGGCCCCAACAAAAGATAAACCACTCGGTCGCCGCAGCTCTTTCAGTGTAAGCTAGGCTAGTATCGTATATGTTAAGTGTATGCATGTATATGTACTATATATGTTTGTATGTGATAGCTTAAGAAAACTAATGTCACAATCATTGGCAAACGCACATTTTTCAATTTGACAGGCACATGCAACAATAACAATGCAGTGGAAAAAGTTCATGCTAGTGCCTCTAGTATACAGATACAAATACACACACACACACATTATAAGGCTCCGTTCAGTTACATATGTGCATACATATAAATATCTTTTTATTTAGTTTTTATAAAAGTTTTTGATTTCTATTCATTTCGCACTCACGTTGCACGAGTACAGCGTACTGAAATGAATATGGCCACTCTACAGTTTATCGTTAGTACTCGCTGCTTGACATTACCACTGAGCACATTTGACGCTGGGGTCGATTACCCAGTGTCGTCTGTCCATCCACTTTAAGTGTCCAGAGCCAAGCGCGGCATCGTGCCGCCGCAAATGAGTGTCAAGTTGCACGCACCTTAAATTTTTCGTGGTCCTAAATGAGGTAGCTGCATTGCACCATATTGTTGTAGGTACATACACACACATTGTGTTGTTATGCTTATAAGTAGGTATGTAATCCTTTGCGGACTCAATAGTTTATGCAAAAATTTGATTTGAACCGCCCATATAAGAGTGATTGCTAAACTTCAAGGTGGAAAAGTTGGAAACATACATTTGTATGTCTGTTCGTGCTTATAAAAGTTTTAATTCCTTTTTTTTTTTAATTATATAAGCAGTTAATTTAAAATGTATATTTCAAGTAGTAGTACAGTGTAATCCATTTATAATGGACTCGCTTAAGATGGAAACTCTGTTATTATGTACCYCTTTGTCAAGTCCCAGTTCAAACATATGTAAAAAAACTCGGTTAAAATAGACTCGGTTATAATGGACTCCGTTTATAATAGACAATAAAAGCGGATTTTGTCCATTATAACCGAAGCTTTCACAATCAAATTTCAAAACAAAGCTGGCAATCAGTTGGCAATAAGCAAACTTTTGTACTTCCCCGAATTCGATCAAGAGACACAATCATTCTCTGATTCTAAGTCAAAGAAGGCAAACCACTTCTGCGGTGGGCTGAAAGTGACGTTCGTTGGCTTTTCATTGAGAGTTGTTCATTTTAAGAAAAATGTCGGAAAAAAATAAGCGAGCAATTACATTGCATGAAAAATATACAATAATATGAGAAATTGAAGGAGGAACTTCACAAGCTGACATTTGCTTGAACAAAAACCTAAAAAACAGACTGTTTCGAACATATGGATTAATCGGGAAAAAATTAAAAATGATTGGAAAGTCAACGACAAGAAAAAAATAATAAGATTTGCGACACATCCTCAAGTTGATGAATTATTTTTTAAATGGTTTCAGCAGAAAAGGGCCAATAATTTTCCAGTAAGTGGTCCAATGCTAATGATGAAAGTCAATCAATTCGGAGAAGCTGTCGATGATAATTTTAAATGCAGTTCAGGATGGCTAGATAGATTTAAAAAGAGGCATACTATTTGCTTCGACAAAATTTGTGGTGAATCGGCTTCTGTGGACCAAAGTGTTACAAATGACTGGCTATTACAAACCTGGCCTACAATAAGTAACAATTATTCCATGGGCAACATTTTTAACGCGGAAGAAAAGGGAATTTTCTATAAGATGCTGCCTGACAAAACTCATGAGATCAAAGGTGAAACATGCAGTGGTGGAAAAATATCTAAAGAAAGAATAACTGCCATGATTTGTGCTAATGCATCGGGCACAGTAAAACGGAAATTATTGGTTATTGGTAAGTTTTAAATACAATTTAATACAATCTGCTGTTTCTGAACAATGTCTGCTTTCAGGAAAATATAACAACCCCAGATGCTTTAAAAACGTTAAAACGTTGCCGGTAGATTATTGTGCTAACAACAAATCCTGGATGACTTCTCAGACCAATACTAAAATGTTGCTATTAGTAGATAATTGCCCTGCTCATCCTCAAGTTCGTCTTCACAACATTAAGCTACATTTTCTTCCGCTTAATACTACATCGGCTCTTCAGCCTATGGATCAAGGCGTCATTAATAGCTTGAAACAACCTTATAGAAAGCAGCTTCTGATGAAAATTATGGACCTTCCTGAAGAAGCAAACCCGACAAAAGCTGTGAGTCTTTTAGATGCTGTCAATATGTTAAGTGTTGCATGTTAAAGTGTCTCTAAGGAAACCATAAGAAACTGTTTTCGACATGCTGGTCTGGTAAAAGACATTCCTCATGGATTAGATTTCGACCCGGGGGACGATGAACCTTTGAGCAAAATTATCGAAATTAATAACGTAGTGGTTTTAAGCAAGTTTGATGAATATTCAATAATTGACGAGAATATTATAGCCATAGAAGAACACTCAGACAATAACTTAATTCAAGACTTTCTGCATGAGCTGCTTGAAGAAGAATCCGTCTATGAAAATTTAGCACAGCCCGAATCTACAATAAAAATAGAAGACGCTATGAATTATTCTAGGAAACTGAAGCTATATTTTCAACAAAAAGAGAATAGTTTAGATGCAATCAATTTGCTCAATAAACTCGAAATCAAACTACAAAAAGATTTTGCCAATAAGGCATTCACCCAAAAGAAAATCCCTGACTTTTTTCAAAGGACTTAATTAAACTTATTATTTTCTTAATTTTGTATTTTTATGCATAAACTTTATTGCTTTAATAAAAAAACACATTGAATTTACTTTTTGAGTTAAAAATTTTATATTCTGATTAGATGGACACTCGGTTATAATGGACAATTTGACATGGTCCCGTGGAGTCCATTATAACCGGATTATGCTGTATATATTTTTAATAAATAAATCAATATACAAACAAATATATATAATAAATAGTTATATTTTAGGAAATGGAGGACACAATTAAGCGAAAGAGAGCAGTTTGTGAATGTAATGGGCAATACCAAAGTGAAGTCACTTTATATAAATGATGACGACTGTGCATTTCTTATAGGAAGTATAGTTAATCTAAAGATTAAAATATGGCGCTGTTTGCTATAGTGATCGCATCTGATCAATGTATACTTATATTTTAGCATTATCTTGGCAATAATCTATGCCAAATTTTGTAAAGATATCTTATCAAACAAATATAAAGTTTTCCATACAATAACTTAATTTTGTTCGATCAGTTTGTATGGAAGCTATATGCAATGGTGGTTCGATTTTTGGTTTAAATGGGAAGAAAAAACGGGTTCAAAAACTGAGTACTGGTTCGCGTATATGTAGACAGACGACAGCCATAGCTAAAACGACTCAGCTCGTCACGTTGAGGTATACAAATATTCGAATATATTATTAGTACAATTTGAAGAAATCAGAAATAGCTTCATTGTTGTTTCACGCAAAAAGGTAAACAGCACAAACGTAACTCTGTTGTTCGGATCACTTTTGCTCATTTGGCGCCGAAATTGGCAGAGAGTGCTTTAAATAGCCAAAAATAGCTACAGGTGTCTTACACTTGAGATTTGAAGATACGATTGTACCAAATATACCGAAGCGCTCTTATATTTACATAAAAAGTGTTTGTTTTGTTATTTCTAAGCACCAAAAGATAACACTTTAATCTACTTAAGTTATCACTTGAGCGAAGCTCTTTTGCACACCTTATATTAAGTGCTTTTGCTGTGCGCTACAAAACGTCCTTGGCCTTGAATGCGCAAAGCTCACTGCTTAGAGCTAAAGATTATTCGATTGTTTGAAAAAACTCAGAAAGTGTTTGCTGACAAATTCTCTATTTTTTCGGAACATTTTCGGGTAATGATGGGATGAAATATTTTTAGCTCGTCGACAGTACTTTACTTCATAAGTTTTGTCTATGCTACGCCGAAAGCTTTTCAAGTACTTGCGTGTTAACTAATAATTATTAACATATAAGGATAACAATAATAAGAACGAGAATAAAACGTGTACCTTATATATATGTATATATATATATATATTTAGAGATTCTCGACCGTTCTGGATATTAAATGAATATAAACAAGAAATCACCGGGTTTCTTTTACTTCTTTGAATATGATTTAATACTCTTATTTAGTGAGAAAATTATTTACTTGCCCATTTCGTTATTATGAAACGTATATATCTGAATGAATAACCCATTGAGCATGCAAATGACGACTATTTTGCTAATTAATCGATCAATCAAAACATAATATATCAAGGCATGTCAATCATGAAAGAGCTGCGTATAAATAGGAACAAAAGCTTTCAATAAAATAGAGAGGCAATTGTCAACGAAATAAACTTTGGTCAGAGTCCGAAGAACTGTATAGAGAATTTCAATCAATCAAGTGAGCTAAAAATTGACGCTTTTCTAATAGACAGATCAATCAATAGATCGGTCGGTGTAGTGGCTCGGCTGAGCCTGCGGTCCATTAACTTTCGGGCGCATGCAGCAATTGCTATACAATGCAAAAATGCAATTTTCATATTTTTTTTTGTTTTCTTTCGTCCAATACCTATTTATTGTCTTTACTAAACCACGTACATATTTTTTTATTTTTATTTGAGATGACCCAGAAAACATTTCTGCTGACAACACGGATGCACCTTTTTTCCGAGGGACTGCCGGAAATGGCGTCGTAATGACTACCATTTTGATATTTTTTTTTTTAATTTTAAAAAATGTTTATTAAATATGAGTATTTAAAAAAAAAAATTAAGTATGGTGTTAATGATTATCCAAATATTTTTCCATTATTAAATTGCATAAAGATTAACTTTTCCTTGTTTTCATCAAAATTGTGTTTATTATAATATTAAATTATTCCGATTTTATACAAAAAGAAGTAAGGGAGGGCTAAGTTCGGGGGCAACCAATCATTTTATACTCTTGCACCTTGCAAAAATTAAAGCCGGGGAAATACTTTAAGGTGTAAAACCAATCACATAGAGTAAAGTCAACCGAGTTTTCGAAAATCCTGATATGAGTTATGTATATGGTCTAGGCCAAGTTTTTGCTCAAATTTATCTATTTTTGGCACAAAGATACACTGTTATGTGTTCAGTTATATATATCACTCATTTTCGTTCAAAAATCAATTATTGGTACTGAGGTCTAAATATTCGGTACCTAGGGGCTTGAATGGTTTTATTGGATTTAAATAATTTTTGATCATAAGATGGCACACACTAAACCATTCGTGTAAAGTTATATTCCATTGTATTAATTGCTTCTTGATTTGTGTACTGGAAACTGAACGAAAGAAGTGGAATTTGTTGTAGCTTTAATAGTTTGGGAGATATTCACATTATATGGCGGGGCCACGCCCACTTTTTCAAAATTTCTTATCCACAGATAACCTGCGATCCCCTGTGTCAAATTATAGTTTTATATCTTAGTTTAGTGCTTAATTATGACACTTTATAAGCTTTAGGTTAATCTCGATTTGTGAGCGTGACGGTGTTTTTCTCTGGGTTTCAATCATAAGCTACGTTTAGACCTTAGTTTAATGAGCACCGAAATCGGTGAAGCTAAAGAATTTAGGATGACCAAAAGTGAATATATGGATATGAGAAAGTTTTGTGCAAAGTGGTTGCTGCGCGAGTTCACTTTTGAGCAAAAGCAACGACGAGTTGTTGACTTGGAGCAGATATGAAAGATGCCTATGATGATTTATTATGAATAAATCCGAGTTTTAGCGTTGCAGGTGATAATAGCTGTGTGAAAATATTGGCAACATAATGGTTCTATTGTCTCTTTTATGCCTATATTATATTGTAAATATAATTATAAGAGATTTCGAGCTTAACACTACACGCCTAACCCTCCGTCATTTTGACGAATCCGCCACAGATTATTTGTCGTCTTGTTTCAGCTAACGATTTTCTAAACGACCTATGAAACAAATATTAGTTGAATTAATTAATATTAATAGACGCATACAGTGAAACAAACCAAACTTCTCCAAAGAGTTGTTTACACTGTAAAGTATCTTATCTTTTCAACTATTTCAACTTTTAAGCTGCAATTGTTTAAATTAATTAATTTTGATGTTAACAATTGGAAAAACTTAAATGATCAGTTTTGGTCGTCCAAATAAACTGATACACTTGCTTATTTGCGGATCAACCTGTACTTTAAGGTAAGCGAATTTCTTTTGTGGAGTTGTTAAAAAAAAAAAACTGATGAGGCAATAGCCTCAAGTTTTACGAGCTCTGGAAGTCAAATAGTGGTAAGAGAAGAAGAGTACTCGCGAAATAGTCAGTGTTGTCAAAAGACTACATAACACTGTTCGGTGTACATTATTTCAAAATTCAAAAAACCTTATCGTAGAGGAAGGCCCAAAATATTAGCGCATCCAAGCTGAAAGAAAAATTGCTCGGAGCATCAAGGAAGACGACAGAATACCTGATGTCGCTCATGCTAAAGAGGTGTTTTCATCGAAGAAATTATGAATATTAAAAATAGTTTGGCTACATCAACAGGTAAACTCAATTTAAATGATAGACGCATTCTGCTTTGGTGATTGAGGAATGACTGTGACACAACGTGAAAAGCGTTCAGCCGCATTCTCTCCAGAGTTCTGACTATACAACACAGTTAATAGAAAAATATGAGGTTAAAGGTAAATGCACCTCTTGAACTTTCACAAAATGTCTTACATTCTTCAAACATCCTATATCAGGTCAGAAGTGCACATACAATTTATTAATTATTCTTAAAGAGCGTTGTAATGTCAATTAAAGTGAACTACGCCCAACTCTTTTTTTACACGGTTTCTTTATACTCTGATTTGAAGTTACACGGTTGAAAAAAAATATATATAAGAAAAAATAATTTTTTAATCTAGTACGGTTTTAAAATCACTGTCTTGTAACTATGTTTGCTTTTACCATACTTAGCACCATTGCTGGAATGAACATACATAGTAGTAACTGATATTTACATTGCCGAAATGATGACTCCAGTGATCATAGTCAGTTCGTCGCAAACAATTGCGCTTGTTATCAAGTAGCCGCGAATAATTATGTACATATGTAAATAATTTTCTTTATTTCTATTCTAATTTTTCTGTTCTTAATTCTGCATTAGCAGACTTATTTTGCTTTTTGGTAATCTTACACGGTTTTCAGATGACATGACATGTATCCCCCATTTTACTACAGAAAACGCCTCTTTTTCTACACGGTTTTTTTTTTAAATTTTCTCTCGCAAACTCGCAACGTCGACTCATCAGTTGTTATCATCGTCCAAGCCTCTGCACTATATAGCAGTACGGGAATTATGAGTGCTTA